AGAAGAAGAAGAAGAAGAAGAAAAGAAAACACGCCCAGCCCATCATCACTCACAACTTTTCAAGTACAGAGGGAAGACCATTCTGTTTCTGAGTGCCATGGCATCAGGAGTGAACATCTCAAGTGATTTTTCTGTTTTTGTTTTGAAACATCTGTAGATATCCCAGACAGTGAATGACACCTGGGTGAAGGAGGCAGGTGTACGATAATTCAAAGCCTATAATACACAACCTTGTACTGGTATACATAAGATCTACAGGGTTTCTGCTGCGCTGGCAGCGCTTCACTGGTCAGGATTTGTCTTTAGTTTGACACTGGAGCTGGGTCCAGTGTCGCTCCATCACTACTCCAAGTGCCAGTGAAGGTCGGTTGTTGGCTTTGCTCTGCATGGTTAGCGATGGTGGTAGACAGAGGTTGCAGTAGGAGAATTGCGAATGGAATAGTTCGAGACATTTTTCGTGCCAGCTGCTGAGGGAGGGGGGGGTCGGAGAAGGGAAGTAGGTTGTCAGCCACAGTCGGTCCTGGTCAGCAGTGAGATAGAGACAGTGAGGGAGCTCTGCAGCCGATGCTGACGGAGGCCTGGCAGGCTTCATGCTTCCTTCAGCAGGGGAATATCTGCAGGGAGAGAAAAGTGTACATTAAAGCTGGGCCTGATGCAGCACTTTGTCCACCATAAAGTCACAGCATTTCCACAGTTCAATGAGCAACCCATTTTATCACCACAAAAAGTAATTAGTCACTGTAAATCTGCTGTCAATCGACAATTAAAGTTATAATCTGGGCGGAAATAAGAAACTGACATAGTGCTCAAGTTGTAGGGCTTTTGGACAAGTATAATAAAGTGGCTTCTCAGTGTACAAAGTCAGGAGGGTATCAGTACTAGATTAGACAGAACTTCAATTTTCACTGACCCAGACTTTGACCAATGAAAGTTTTCTTAGTGACGGAGCAACAGCTGGTTTAATTCTACGTAGAAACATCTGCCAGTTGTGTTTCATTTCTTTCCACACATCACATCATACGTTGATGTCACTCCATCTTACCGTCAGAAAATTCTTCTGCGGAGGTGACAGACAGCAGACTGTTCTGGTCACTGCTCTCAGAGTCTCTACGTAGAGGTAGGGGGCCTGCGCATGCACCCCCAGGGTGCTCTCTGGCCCATGACGAAGAACAGGATGATGAGGAGGAGGAAGAAGAGGACGAAGGGGCCTGGTGAACCAGCACTGGCTCTGCATGACGGCGGGAGGAGTAGGAGGATGAGGAGGAAGTGGACGGGAGACAGAAGTCTAAGTCTCTGTGGTGCCGGGTCCGGCTGGAACCTTGGCCTCCGGTGGCCCCCTGAGGAAACCCCTCGGAGAGCACGATGGGGACTCGTGACTCTAAAGAAGGTGGAGGAGGTGACGGAGAAGGAGGAGGACCCGAGGGGGCGCACGGTCCACCACTCCCGTATACCGCCTCTTCATATGAGGGAAGGCTCACCTGGACACCCTCCACCATGATGGAGCTGCCCTGGCCAGAGATCCCGCCCGTCTCCCTCCTGGAAGAAAAAGACAAAGACTGACATTAACATGGGACTGGGGTTAAAGACAGTCACATGTGTCACATTCTACTGAATAACCACAGTGGTGGTGATTTGTGCTGATGGTACAAACCATTTATAGGCGGCTGCACTCAGTTCACTGACATGACACAACTGAAACGGATTCTGTTTCTTTTAGTTCACTGACTGATAACATGTTCCTTTTTTTTCCTTAATTCCTCGGACATTCAAGGAATGCTGAATTCTATCTTTCACAACTTTGCACAACAGGTTTCACACAAAACTTGTGAGTAAAAGGTGTGTCCTTGGTACAAGGAAATGAGGAACAACACCAGGTTTGTTAATGTGTCACAGAGTGTGTGTGTGTGTGTGTGTGTGGGCGTTGCTTTTATGGCACTGTTGATAAAGAGTGGTTGGGTTGGTCAGGAACAGCAAAGTGAACTTGATCTTTGTAAATTTATAAACAGGACAGTGTTGCCAAAATGGAAGGCTGAGTAAAACAGAAACACAAATGTTCCAGCTCTTGATTAAAGCTAAAGCAGGGCTAATATGATCCATGCACGGCTGGCTGAAAATGGAAATTGGAATAACAACTACCATGAACTCTTCTGGGGCAAAAGTGATGGAAATAAGTCCATTAAAGTTCATGACTACATTTAATGGAATATCTAAAATGATAGTAGCTAGAAATCTAAGTGTGAGTGTTTATTTTTCTCTTCAGGTTGTTCTTTTTTTTAGACTTGCATTACCTTCCTCCAATAATTCTGTAAAACAAGGAATGTAAGAGTGGTTGAAAAAGGAAGTCCTATTTGATAAAAGTGACTACATTTCTGCTGCTCTCTTGCCCTTATTTGGACAGATTCCACTTCCATGGGGACAGGAAACAGGGCTAAAGATCCAAGTAAAGATATGCAACTGGGAGTTCGTCCAGCAATCGGCTGCGTGCGTCAACATGGACTAAGATATTTTTTTTTTTCATGTTCTTTAATCATCAGTGATTCATGTGCATCTTACCTGCTGTGATGAAAGGACTTGAGTTTTGGCTGTACAAGAACAAACAACACCACTAAAAGGAGGATGAGGACCACAGAGCTGGCTGTGGAGGTGACGATGGACAGGGCTGGAATACCCAGGGGTGAGCTCTGTTCTTTGACTGTGGGACACAAGAGAGAGAAGAAGAAGACGATGGTAAAGGAGGTCAGTGTCTCACTCTCATCCCTGGTCCCTGAGAGTAAACGTGATTCCAAACAGACCTTGTGTTAGTCTGCAGCTGATCTGCATGGGACCGTCCCACTCGCCATTCTGGCAGGTGAGGAACTTGTAGTCTCCCTTCAGTGCGTAGCCCTCGTCACAGAAGTACTCGATGACAGTCTTCTGGGTGAGGTGGTGGCAGGGTGAGGGGTGACAGCGGTAGCCGCCGTTCTCTGGTTCAGGTGGAGGGGAACAGACTAGGAGAAATAACAAGAGGGAGAATTTATGTTTTCATATGTCAGTAATGTGGCCTGTTGTTAAATAAATTCCCAGAATTCCCTGCTGAATCTCAAGGAAATAACTGCTTGGAATGTCCTGCTCAACACTGCCTACTACTGATATGATTTTAAATTACATTTTAGATGATGTTAAACGTGAAACCTCAGAAGTCTGTGCTCTTAAGTTTGAATCAAAAACAAACTAATATTTTTACTTAAAAAAAAAAAAGACACAGCAGTGAGATTCAAGCACTTCCAAAGATTTCAAGGCCCCTCCACCAACCCCAGGCGATGACAACTTGCTCACCATTGCCTCGAATACAAAGTGGTGGTGGATGGGACCAGGTTCCAGAGTTGGTACAGACGATGGTGGTCGATCCATCTGCAGTGTAGCCCGGCTCACACCCGTAGGTCAGCAGGGTTCCTGGTGGAAAAGATCCCCGGTTTGCCTCTGTCTGGTACAGAAGGTCTCCGTGCAGCGCGCCGGGCGGCCGCGGCGAACA